TCACTGACTCAGTGAGCACAGCTGAAGTAGATCATTAAACCAGCCCACTCCTGCCAAACAGCCCGCAGGGCTGGAACACTAAGGCTTCCTTGCTCCACTTTATGAAAAAGGCATGTATAGTAGAATAATTACCTGTTATCTGAGTGCTAATTCTTAAAGAGCAGCTAATGATATTAAAAATAAAGACCAGCCTGGCCAGTGTGGCTCAGTGGTTTAGCATTGACTTATGAACCGAGAGGTCATGCTTCAATTCCCGGTCAGGGCACATGCCCAAGTTGCAGGATCGATCCCTAGTGGGGGCCATGCAGAGGGCAGCTGATTGATGATTCTCTCTCATTATTGATCTTTCTCTCTCTCTCTCTCTCTCTCTCTCTCCCTCTCCCTCTCCCTTCCTCTTTGAAATAAAAATAAATAAATACAAAAAAGAGTGGGTGGCTAGGAGACTTTGAATATTTTGTATTGAAGTTGCATCGTTGCTACTTAAATTTAAATCCTTTAGGTTTAAAAATAATGCCTGGACCCCTTTAATGCAATAGTGAGATCTGCTGCAGTGTGTGGGACTTGGGGTGGGGCATTAGTCCTCCAAAATTAACCCCCTTTGGTTCCCCCTTGTGTCCAGTCCTGTAAGGGCAGTGATTGCCTCTTTTCTCCTTCCCCTGCCCCCTTGTTCAATGCCCTCACTCCTGGAATTTGAGAGACTGTGTGTAGGTGGTATACTGGCCCAGAATTTGGTCTGAGTTGGGAAACAACTGAAGTTATTCCATGCTTTTCCCTCCACACACCTCCCCCCAAATCATCAACTAAAAACCTATACAGTCAAACCTCTATTCTCAAACATCCCTTATCTCAAACAATTCAGTTCTCAACCAAGTTGTTCACAGAAAAACATCTTGGTTATTGAACAAAACTTCTTGACCTGACAGGCCTTTCATGCTGATACCTTTACAATCAGTCATGCATCTCTCAGGTGACAAAGGAGATAATGAGCGAGTATGAGTCAGTTTACTGCTAAACCTCACATTGTTAACATATCAGGAAATTGTGCTGTGAATATTTTTGTGGTTTTTTGCTTTTGTTGCTGTTTATTATTAAATATATACAGTAATTCACCATAGGTCCTAAGAAGGTTAATGATAGCAGCAAAGTGAATAATGATAAAGCTTTAAAAAGAAATAATTGCAAAGTATGATAGAGGTGTTCATGTGCCTGATCTAGCTACCAAGTATGGCATGGCAAAATCGATGATTAGCATGATTTTTTAAAAATATTTTTATTGATTTTCATAGAGGAAGGGAGAGGGAGAGATAGAAACATCAATGAGAGAGAACCACTGCTCCACTGCCTCCTGCATGCCCCTACTGGGGATTGAGCCCGCAACCTGCCTGACTGGGAATAGAACCTGGAACCAATAGAACCTGGGACCTCTTGGTCCATGGGAAGAAGCTTAATCCACTGAGCCACCACAACTGGGCGATTAGCACAATTTTAAAACATAAAGGGTCCATCAAGAGTGCTGATGTTGCTAAGGATGTGAAAGTGCTCATGAAACAAGGGTCACAGGCAATTTGGAAAGATTAAAATGGAATCATTTGGAGGCCTAGAATGGATTAACTCAATTTACTTTGTTTCTAACTAGAGGCCCGGTGCACGGATTCATACACCAGTGGAGTTCCTCAGCCTAGCCTTCGCCCTCTCGCAATGCAGGACCCCTCTCGGGATGTTGGATAGCCGGTTTGGGCCCAATCCTCGCAGGCCTAATCCAGACAGGAGGGAGCCCAATCCTGTGCATTGAGCATCTGTTCCCTGGTGGTCAGTGCGCGTCATAGTGACTGGTCAACCGCTCGTTTGGTTGTTTGGTCGCTTAGGCTTTTATATAGAGAGAAGTGAAAAAAATGATTAGCTTTTCGAAAAAATCACTTCTCGAACAGCCTTCTGGAACAAATTAAGTTTGAGAACCAAGATTCCACTGTGTTAATAACCAGCAGATTACAGGTACCAATAGCAGCCTTTAGAGAAGAAATGCCACTTGAAAGGTAAAACACAATGAACAATTATCAGCCTTAACCCTTCTCTTGATTTTTTTGGTCCTTTTCCCTGGGGGCCTTTCTTAGGTGGTAGATAATAAACTTAAAATAGGATTGTACTTTACTCTTATATCTCCCCACCCAGCACTGTTACTGGCACAGCAGACAACAGAGCCCTGAGGGAATGGTATGTTACAACCAAGATTGGGAGAGGGAGGACGGACAAGTTCCTGGACAGTCAAGCCTACAGCAGCTGGGGGAGGAAGGTGGCTCCTTAGAGCTCACTGGGTGTCAACAAGGGTCACGTTGGCAGAGCAGAGGCAAAGGCAGGGGAGAAAGAAGAACAGAAAGGAAAAATACACACAGAGGAAAGATAGTGTGTTTTTGTATTTGAATAAAATGCCAAGATTACATGGGCTCTTCAAATTCTTTTGTTTTAGCTAGGGTTACTCAGAATAAATGAACTATTCAGAGAGTTCAGATTTAGGTAATATTTGCAATAGTGGGCATTAATACAGGGGTATCTACCTCTTTTTATCCAGTGGTACTGCTGTTTCTTAAAGACCAATGTATATTATTCAAGTTGGAAGAACTATTAGAATATGTAAAATCCAGTTGTTGGAAATACGGTCATGGCACCCTCCCCAACTTCACCCTCCGGTTTCATGCTACAATCTGTGTCCCTCTACCCACACCTGAAGTGCCTCACCTTGCTCTACTTTTTCCTTTTTCAGTAGTACCTCTTGCCTTCCAATATACCCCATGAACTACTTATCTATTATATTTATTGTTTACTGTTTCCATCTCCTTGCTGCAGTAAAAGTACCATGAGGGCAAAGTTCTTTGCTTTGTTCACTGAAGTATTCCCAGCATCTAGCTTGTTTGATGTGTAGCAGGCGCCCAACCAATACTGAATAAGAAAGATAGAAAAGCAAACTACAAAGAAATGGATATAAAATTATCCTGTTTTTGTTTTGCAAAATACCTAGATAATAATACATGTACTATAGAAAAAAATTATAGACAGATACACCACATCTTAGATAATAATTACTCCCAGAGGAATAGGATTACAGGAGATTTTCTGTCATATGTTTCCCATTTTTACAATAAATATTACTTTTGAAGTAGAAAATAATGCTATAACAAAGTAAGGATTAAAGAATTTGGTTAGGCCTAAAAGAAGGACCTTTGTTTATTTTTTGGGGACATAGGTTACAGTGAAAGAAAGTTACATTGTTACAAGAGCCTTTTTAAAAAGTTTGATGTTTTGATAATCTTCAGTTGGTTTTTTTGAACTTAGATAAGACTCGCCTCATTTGTGAACTGATAGACAGGGTTTCACAGAGGGGTCATCTAATTTTTTTTTCTCAGTAATCTAATAATAATTTTACCTAGCATACCATCTGGAGGCCCTTCTTAGGTGGTAGATAATAAACTTAAAATAGGATTGTATTTTACTCTTGTATCTCCCCACCCAGCACTGTTACTGGCACATGGCAGACATACATAGGTGAGCAAGTGAGTGATATCCTTGGAGGGTATAGGATGGCAGGATTGCCTGCGAACTGGGTGGAAGACAAGGAGAAGTGTCAGGGAGCTGAAGGGCCTTCTTATTCTGAGCTCAGCTCTTCACATATCTTGCAAAAAGCTGGTCAGCAAAAGGTGCTTCTTGAACTGCAGCTCATAATGGGCAGAACATGAGTCCTGTTCATCACAGGAGCTCTGGGGTGCATTGTTTTACAGGGAGTGTCTCCCTAAGGCAAATATTCATAGAGCAGGTGCAGAATTACAGCTTATACTAATTCTGCCTCTTAAATAAAGGCAGAGGTGGCCTCGTAAGATCCTGTGTGCAGTGTTGAGTATCAGTTATACAGCATTTTATTTTATATTTGCTAATCTAATTATTTTTAGATTTCTCATCTTCAAAAAATTTTATGGTCACTTTTCCAAACTACTGAAAAGAACATTGACATTAAAGAAAAAAAGAATATTCCTTTCAGGAAAAAAGTTCGGTGGTTATGTTTTTAAAAAAAATACTTTTTCTAAGCATATACTGCCTATTTATTTATCTTTGGTAATCTTCACCCAAGGATATTTTTTCCATTGATTTTTAGAGATAGGAGGAGGGAGGGACAGAGAGAAAGAAAGTGAGAGATGAGAGGAGGGGGGGGAGAGAGGAGAGAGAGAAAAGAAAGAAAGAAAGAAAGGGAGAGAGACATTGGATGCCTCCTGCATGCACACCATCAGGTGCAGGGGATTGAACCTGTAACACAAGTATGTGCCCTTGACCAGGAATCGAACCCACAACCCTTAGGTGCTGGGCTGATACTCTATCCACTGAGTTACACCAGCCAGGGCATATACTATCTATTTTAAATGAATCAGTTAAGATAGAGAAATGCCAAGTCATGTATCCTTACCCCGAAATGATATATTTGAAAGGGGATGTCTTATTTTCAGGATAAAATGTTTTTCATTTTCATTTTACTGAAGTGTCATTTTACTAAAGTATTAAAATCTAAGACTCTGCTGAGCACCCACCATGTGCTAGGCATGTGGGTAAGTTTTCCACAGGCACAGGCGTGTGGGGAGCGGAGGTCTTTTCTTCCTGGGGGCCTGGGAGGCTTCACATTAGAGGGAAAATTGGTTCTTCGGTTCACTTGCCCCTCATTTTCAGGCAGACACTTATGAAATGATTGCACTCCCATGAAAGATAGCTTCTACATAATTCAAGATTGTCCTGGATCCCTCTCATCAGAGAGGAAGAAAAGCCATATGAATTATTTACAGAGCATCAAGTTATTTCCTTTCATGAGCTCCGACTTTGTTTTTGTCTCTGCAAACTGAGATTTTGTTTATCCATGAATAGTTTTCCCTGGGGCATGAAAAATATGACTCTTTAATTATGAATGAGATTTTTTGTTTGAGTCCATGTTAACTAAAACATGCAAAATAAACTGTGTTTTTCATTAGATCCCTTCCAGGTCCCCACAAAGACAGAACCAACAAAAGAACCAGCAGTTCAACCAGCACCCACCAGAAAGCCCACTGTGATTCGAATTCCAGCCAAACCAGGAAAATGTAAGCACTTCTCTGCCTTCTTTATTTGCTGTCCAAGAGCCTGGGGATAACACATGCTCTTTTATCAATGTCTGCTTTGAAAGTATGTGTGATCAGCCATTTATTATCATTTGTAGTCTAGGACATTTAAAAGCAAGTTGGTGGGCTTTTTACAATTCTTTAGACAATTAGTACAGTAAATTTGGATTTTATTTCTCTTTAACAATGTCTTTAAGTAGAGAGAATAGAGGGAGACTAAAACTCAGAATAATTGTAATATCCTCTGGTGCCTCTGGTAAAGATATGGTAGGAAAGGAATTGAAACTGATAGCAAATGAAGTTATATATGTCTATCATAGAGAGCATATTACCCCATTATATATAGGAAGTATATTACTCCAGTCAGCACCCTTATAAATTGGACTAATAGTTCTGAAATCCTGAAACGGGTATATTGAGGAAGCACCTTTACTTATTATCCTGACAAAGCTCCAGAAACTATATATGAGAGAACTGAAGTGCCAGGTTCCAGAGAGTTATTTCCCAAGAATTTTATCATTACAATTATCAAGCAATGCATATATGCCAAGGAGGAAGAAAAGTAAGACTTTTGGTGTCTGAAGAACTTGGAATGGACAAGTGAAGGAAGGAATAGCTTTGTGGTGCAAAACCCCTGGCTCTTCTTTGAACCTGTCAGCTCCTTCCCCTGGGGACCTGTTCCTTCTGACTAGGATGTTCTTTTCCCAGATATCTGCATGGCTCCCCTCTTTACCATTCCTTCGGGTCTTTGCTCAAATGCCACTTTTCTCTTTGAGACTTCTGCTGACCACATTATTTGAAATTGGAAATCTCCATCTCCCCACATACCCCCTCCTATGTCCCTTCCTGCCAGTCAGCTGACTCCTCTCTCCTTGCATATTGTTACTACTTTGTACCTGTAATTGTTTGTCACAACAATATCATATCCTAAATAATTCATTACTTCCTTGTTAAGAATAAGGTAACTGCAGCACAGAGAAAGGCTTCCAGATGGTGACTGAGTTGGAATGTTCCTGTGTCTTAATTCCCAGAGCAGCACTGTCTCTCACTGAGAACACTTATCTCTAAATCATTGTTTGTCTGGTAGTTGGCCTGGGTGTTTTCCTCCTTTTGAGTGTTTTCCTGTCTCTGGATAAATAGGAACCTGACAGATCATCCTCTTGCTACAGGTTTTTCCTGTGAAATGGAGGCAGAGTGTCTTTTGAAAGAATGGGAAAACCTCCCACCTCCTTTAAATGCCTACGCCATGGGTAAAAGATGGTTTTAGCCTCCTTTGTGTGTTGCAATCATCCCCTCTCCATGTGTTTTTGCACACAGATTTTAATTAGTTGTCACTAATTAAATCTGGTCATCTTTGTTTTCTTCTTTTTAAAATAAGTTGGGAGTCCACGATGACGGAGGTAAGGATGTAGTTTGGCTGTAAGGATATTATTTGTTAAATTGAGGGGGCAGTTATGCCCATTAATCTGGAGCTAATGGATTACAAAACACATTTAATGATTTGGATGGGGGAAGGTTGACTACCCCACCTGTTAAGAAGCAGCATGCCTATTACAATGAGCATAGCCTTTTGAGTTCAAAACCCTGGTTCTGACAATTACTAGCATTAAAACCTTGGGTGGCTCATATATTATCTTCTCAGTTTCAGTTTCTTCATCTGAAAAACGGGTAGGATATTATTTAGTGTAGTGCTGTCCAATAGGTCTTTCTTCAAAGATGGAAATATTCCAGATCTGTGCTGTACAATATGGTAGCCACTAACCATATGCGGCTATTGAGTACTTAAAATGTGGCTAGTGTAACTGAGGAACTGAAATCTTAATTTTATTTAATTTTAAGTAAGTAAGAATTACGTTTAAATCACCACATATAACTACTAGCTAGTGGAGTGCACAGATCTAGTGCATAGATAGATGTTAGTTGGAGAAATGTATGTGAATAAAGTACCTTAACTTAATGCCTGGCACATAGAAAGTTCTCAAAAATGTTGGCTGCTGTCATAATGATTTAGCATTATTTTTACTCTCTATAAAATATTTCGTAACTAATGTCTACTAACCCATCAGTTTTCTGAAGTTTGCTGGGAGTTCTTTCTCACTTGCTTGGCTAGCTATCCATCTTTGTGTGGCTCTTTTACAGTAGCCATTTTCCTAAGGAATCGAGCTGCAGTCATTTCATTCTTTTGAATCCCCAAAGACCAGAAATTATTGATGAATTACTGCTATTTTTCCAGGTTTACATGAGGATCCACAAAGCCCACCTCCTCTCCCTATTGAAAAGCCTATTGGAAACACTTACAGTACAGTATCTGGAAAACCCAGTAATGTTGACAGAACTAGAGACTTGGTAAGTGGTCGTTATAGAGTGTTGTAGGTTGAAGACCAACTGATGCGCTAATTTAAATATGTGCAAATTATTTTACTGGTCAGATTAAAAAATATCTTATTACAAATCGGGTTCTAAATCCCATGTACTTATTTTAATGTGATACTTTATATTTTACAAACCCCTGTAGAACAAAAGAATTAGGCCAATTCATTGTACTTCATCATAAAATAATTTGTCCTATACCTATATAATGGCCTCCTTTCTTTCATTGTCTAGTCATCTTTTTTTTTACCTTTATGGTTGAAAGTATTACATATTTCCTCCTTTCCCCCCCATTAACCTCTTCCAGCCCGCTTCTGTTCCCACCCCCGCCCACCCCTCACCACCCAATTGTCTGTGTCCATGGGTTATGTTTTATGTATACAAGTTCATTGGTTGATCTCTTCCCATTCACCCTCCCCTGCCTTCCCTCTGAGGTTCAACAGTATGTTCAAGCTTCTATGACTCTGGGGCTATTTTTTGATCAGCCATTTCTTTTAAATGGCCCTAATAATGAGGAAGTTATGAAAAATCTCTAAAAACCTGTACTATTTGTGGAAATAGATTTATTTCAATGATCAATTTTTATTTAAAATATCAATTAGTGACATAATTTTAAGATAATTACCATAAAAATTTGTTACTCTGAAATTTAGGGGAGAACTATTTTTAAATTTTAAAAAATAGTGCTTTACCATGTGCTTCTTAACAAATTGTGGGCCAAGAATTTTAAACATACTTTTTTCCCTTCAACCTTAATACAATTTCCCTATACTTTTTGAAATTCCCATATAATAGATAATCTTTAAGGTTTGTTTCAAAAGGAACCAGTTTTTAAAGTCTGTGAAACAAATTTTCAGTTCAAATTTCATAATAGTTTTGCATTGTGTATTAACTATGCTTATTTTACATGCAAACTATCTAATCATCTAGTTGAAGAGAAATATCTTGGAAGAAGACATTAAATTGAATTAGCCAAGATCAAGTTAATGAGATTTTTCTGTAGGCTGAATTGAAATTTAGTGATCACTTGCATTTTCAAAGTGATCACTTACATTTTAATAAATTTTTATTAAAACTGGGCCAAAAAATTCCAAAAGAGGATGATAGGGCCCCTACCATACTATTGTTGAATAGGAAAGTCCAAAATTTCCACAAAGGAGAAAGTATCTGAGAAGGTTACAGCATCTGCTCTAAAGGATTATAAAAGAGAGTGAGAGAATAATGAGTAGGCATACATATCATTCATTTAAGTCATGGGCTTTGTAAGCCATAAAGCTCTATTAAAGCACGAGGTATTACATTTGGTGTTAAGCAGTCCACAAAGCAACTCCTGCATTTTAGAAAAACAAGAAAAGGAAGTTAGAGTAAACTAAGCCATCAGTACAGCAGACAAAACAACTTCTCCAGGAACTAAAATGCCTATCCACACACATCACATCAAAAGCCAGAATGTTACTCATTATATTCCATAAATGAGTGAGATTGTGTGATATTTATCTTTCTCTGACTGGCTTATTTCACTTAGCATAATGCTCTCCAGTTCCATCCATGCTGTTGCAAATGGTAAGAACTCCTT